TAATAATTTAATCGGTAATATTTATGATAAATTATTAGAATAGGTTAGGTTAGGTTAGAACGTGCGTCCCCACTGTTTGCTTTCTTGGTACAAGTCGAGATACGTAGACTGTCATGGCGGCTGATCGCCGATTCCAGCAAAGACAAGAAAGCAAACAGTGGGGACGCACGTTCTAACCTAACCTAACCTATTCTAATAAATTATCATAATTATTACCGTTTATATTATTAGAATAGGTTAGGTTAGGTTATGTTAGAACGTGCGTCCCCACTGTTTGCTTTTGTTTGCTGGAATCAGCGCCGGCGCTGTCGCGGCGCAAGCAGCCGCCACCGTTCGCTCGCGTCGTCACGTGACACATCGTCTCCAAAGCGGTCCGGTTTCGAGGCTAAAACAGGAAAAGCCGCCATGATGGTCTACGACCCTGGACATTAACCGCATTTTCTACTCGAGTTGTTTTGTGTCAATTCAATATGAATTTTGTTTTGTAGCACTGAAGAGGGGCTGGAAAATTAAACTTGCCCGAAATGCATCTGTAGAAAAACAATAAAGGAGTTTTATAATCTGTAGAGCTGTGGGAAAGTCTACTGAAAATTTGTTCGGATTGAAGAGACATTTACCTATTTGAATTAATTCAATTACAAATATATAATCATTAAATATTTGCTGCTTCAAATATTACATGATTATAAACGAATATCATATTTAATTAAAATAACAAGATTTTGATTTGGAATTGTAACTGTAATGACATTAATAAGTTTTCTATTGTTAAAATTTACGTAGAAAAAATAACTAATTTTAGATTATTTTCTACCAGAAACACTACTGCGATGTCATATGAACTCTCGAATTCAACAAGGGAGTTCTAATCGCGCCTCGATCCAGAAATGTCGTGGACTCGAGTTTCAGACTTGGACTCCACACATCCAACGACATAGCTGCCTGTCTATTGACAATAACATTCGGTCACGCGTCGTTCGAAATAAGTATTAATCTTATTTGAGTTGCATATCTGTATGCATTTATTGTACTAATAAAGTAATTATATATTGTTATATTTTCTTTAATATAAGTCGCATAGCCAAAATACGTGACATAGGCTATATTTACTTTGTTCTATTGCGTTTATGACATAATAAATAAAGGTAAATAAACTATATACAGTAGAACCTCGAAAACTCGACCTAATGTGGACCGAAGGGTGGCCGAGTTTGTGAAAATGCCGAGTTATCGGGAATGGGGTTAAAAAAAATAAGTACGAGTATTTCCTCAGAAAATACTGTACTGTACTTGTACAGTATTTACTTGTACAGAATATAACAGAGAATAAACTGCCCAAATACCCTTAAACAAAGGAAAAGTACGTCCTTTATGAAGGCATAGAGCCACTACATGAAAATGAAAATTAATGAATACACTGTGTACAGTAATTTACCTGATAAGACAGACCTCAGAAAAATACTTTATGAGAGCTTTTATACTTTTATAAAGCTGTCTATAATGAAAATTAATTAACTAAGGATTTTTTCGCCCTGCCAAGGTGTGGACCAGTTATCCGGAGTGCTAAGTTATCGAGGGACGAGTTTTCGAGGTTCTACTGTACCATCGTGAATGCGTTAACATAATAAAATAGCATTATTCTTCTAAGTTTTTGCATTAATTTAAATTTAGACCTATTAGAACCCAAAATTCATAACAATATATGTACACTTCTATACAGTCGTTAATATCCGAATAAGAAAATTGATACATAATTTATTTTTTACTGATTATTTCTGTAAATGAAAATATGTTTACTTTGTTTAAAAATGTTCTAATACAGATTATACTTAAAATTCAACAGAGAAAATAAAAAAAATGATCAATTTTATTTTAAAATTAAAATTAATTTTGATAAATTTTAAAATTTCAATTATCGTATATATAAGCCGATTTTATAATAATAATTTTCTCAAAGGAAAAAATTAATGTAATTAAAAAAAAATTGAATTTAAAATTGCAAAAAGAAAAAAAACTGGATTGATTTTTGTAACTCATTTTCAAATTTCAATTCAAATATGATAATTATTAAATAAAAAAGTTCATAATACAGCGGAGTAGCGTGGGTGTCAGCCGCCCGGGGCGGAGGAAAATTTCAGGTCCCGTTATTTAGGTATCTCAATTTAAAAGACTAAAATTTAGTTTCGTATCAGAGCAAGTAATGAAAATTTCCTTGCCAGTGTACCCACCTGTTTAAAATAGCTCCATTGGATATTGGAGGTGTATATGAATGCAAATAAATCGTAGAAGCAAAAAAAAAAACAAAAACAAAAAAGGTCGACAGGCTGCGGACTGCACCACCGGGTGAAATTAATAGTTCACCCGGACGGTCAGTCAATTCCCGGACTATTCCGTGCTCATTTCAATCGGTCCGAATCGTAGGTGGGACGATAATGTGGGATAAAATGGTTCAAACTTTTACTAGATATTATTATTATTTATTGTGAAATTTTTCCGCCCCTAAAATGTAATTTTGCCGCCCCCTGAAAAGTGCCGCCCGGTCAACCAGCGGGCCGCCACTGTCATAATACATATAAATTATATTGAATAAAGATACGAAATTATAATCAGAATATGAACTTTCAGAAACGATACTTGAAGGAAAGGAAAAATAATAATACGATAGTTTAAGGACCTCAGACATTAAAGAAATGATTTAATTTAAACAAGTAATGCTGCCGCTATGCGTGCGAGTCCTAATTTTTTGCGTCCCTTACGAAATAGTGAAAATTTATCTTAAATTCCTGTTTTTTGATCATCATCAAAACTATTTTAAATTCAATTTGAACGGTATGAACGTCTGGTAAACATTGTTACACACTACACAGTAGAAGTTTCGTCTCGTCCGACAGGGGGATAACCCGTCCGACGAGAAAATTACCATCGGACACTTCTCACGAGCTTACTTGTTAGTATTAATTAATTATTCTGCAAAACTTTTTTGCTCTTTCCGCCCTGTGGGCAATAAGAGGACCTCTTTTAGCAAGTCTATTATAGGTTCGGTCAGGCCCACAATGAGGCGGTCGGATGGTGAGGAGCGGAGCCTGACATATCGGTCGGATCATTCCCCAAAAAATTTTAGAGTAATCTGGAAGAAAATAATCGGTCCGGAGCCAGATTTGAACCCGGAACTCCCGCTTGCCATACGGATGCGTTGCCAATTATTCAAAAATTATTTAATTAAATTATAATTATTAAATTGAATACAGGATGGCGCCTAATGCACCCTTCAGGACAAATTAATTAGTAATTAAAAATTATAATCGTCGGTAAATAGCCCGATCTTATAGAGTAGTTGATTTTCCTTTATGATGTTTGTATCGTTTCAAAAAAATTCATGATAGTGGTCAGCGGGATTCAAAATTGTGAATTTAGTATTCCGTGAGGTCAAAAAGGTTGGCAACTGTTGGTTTAAAAAACACTTTTTTAAGATACAGTTGGAATTTACATGAATTAACAAGAAATAAGCAAGTAAAGCAAGCTAAAGCTTGTTTTTTTTTTTCTACTTGCTTATCATTTATTCTTATGAAAACAGTTAAAAATAATTTATATAAGTATCAAATCTGTTTAAAGAAAATTTTAGTAAATCGATTGGTTATCTGCGACAAAATTTTGCGAGCGTCCTTGAAAACAGGCAAATATCAGCTTAAAAGTATCGCACATTTTTTGCGCCAAATTTCACGTATACGCCATTACTAAAGATAAAAAATAAAAAAAATCTATAAAAACATTTATATAAAAAATTATAAATCTGTGAAGGACGCGTTCTTTTATAAAGAAATTAATTAAATTCTTGTTTTTTTTTAATTATGCGGTTATTGCATTCTTTATTTTTCTAAACGATAGTGGTATTTTTATATATAAAAAATGTATTAAAATTGTATAGAATTCTGCGAGATTAAGTTTTATCTTTTAAAATTTTATATTTCAATTTAAAATAATGTTATTCTAGAAGTTTCTTAGATAATTTTTATATTTATATTAGAATTTTAGTAAACAATATAATTTGGCCGCATTAGCGCTGTTATCGAGCTAGTTAACCGGAAGTGTACATTTGAATCTCTTCCTCGTGGTTACTTCATAGTGATGTACTGTTTATGCTAAAATAAGTGCACGATGACTTCGCAAGACGAGAGCGGTAATTTCTTTTCTTTGTTTTTGAATTCAGTTTGCAAACAATTTATTAAAAGGTTTCCTATTCAAATTTTAATAAAAATTTCGACGTATGTTTTGTTTTAAAATTATAAGATTATCCATTTTGAACATAAGTTGTTCAAAGTATGTTTTTAAAGCTAAAAATTTACTCAGTCGTATTTCGTAAGTCACATTAATTACTACACATCAGTACAGTAAATATCTTGAAAAAATAATAATTTAAAAGAATTAAATACTTTGACCAGAATAAAACAAATAAAATAAATACCCTTGTAGCTAAATTGGTTTAGGAAGAATTTGATCTTAAAATTTTGTAAGGATAAAATAAATTCTGTTTCAACAATCTTCTACAATATATATGGTAAATCAGAATCTATATTATCATATAAAAAACTGGGGTCAGAAGTTATTTTTAGGTAATTGTTTATGTACAGAATGATTCAGTTTGACCTGAACACTTTGTTCAATGCCTCATGATTGCACAGTCACATTTGAATATAAATGTAATGTAATGTAAAACATACATTGATGTACCAGCTTTGTCATGAAATACAGAACTGTTCATTTCATTCATGTTTCACGTTCATAATGTGGAGATATTCTTCATTTTAAGCATTCAATCTTCAGCAAATCACTGTGTGTGTGTGTACTACCTATTTTTTAGCACTTTCATTGCTATCAATGAATTAGTTTTACAAAATACTAAGATGTTAGATACAACAATATTTAGTAATCTAACAAATGTAAACTAGAGTGCAATAAAGGAAAATAAAAGTGATTTATATAATCAAGAATAATAATGGATAAAAAAATTCAATTACAGTATATAAATCTATGACACACAGAACATTCTATCATAAATCTATCATTCATTTCATATATATATCAATGGTGTGTGGTGACATTTGTGAGAAGCCAAGGATATAGATGTGCTACCTATATCACTTACAGGCATACAATTGCAAAATTGGCTCACTAATTTTTCTATGCAGAATTCTAGGTTAATTTTGGCAGAAATAGGTGATTGTGTAATCACCCTTTTCCTCGTCAGGATTCTCGACACCAGTCAATCAATTTTGTGATATGTGGATTAACACGCGTGTGGAGATGATACGGAGATAAACCCTTCGTTTTGATTCAGATACTCGAGAGACATTCTTTTAACAAATATAAACAAATATTTAATGAAACAAAACAACAAAATTATACAAATAGAAAATTCAAATAAAGCTTTTCCAGACTTTCGAATTAAACCGTTTCGAGAGAGAGAGCTCACAATTTCTATTATAATCATACTACCTCGGGGTAACTTTATCTTCTTCTTTAAATTTATACTATAGTTCTTTATTGAATAGATCTTGAATGGCACATATTTAAATATTTTCTTCCCTATTTACTGACTTAAACTCATTTTAGAGAAACTTCGGGATTCGACTTTGGGTGTTGGCCTTCAGGAGATATGGAATACGTCTTCTTTCTTGGTATGGATTGCGTCGTGGCGTACTCTCCGAATCATGCAAAATTCTTTCTTTTTCTCATGAATTTGCTTTAGTCAGCATTTCATATTTTCCACGTGACCAGGGGAAAAGGGGATTTATCGAGGGGTTGACAATTTACAGGGTGACTAAGATTTTTAGTAGATAAGGGAAAACAAAAGGATGTTTCAACTTCCATTGAAGGAAGTGACTTTTTCCAGTTTCCTTTGTTTTAGAAAATATAATTTTCCCAAAATCAAAGAATATTTTTCGTTTAAAATTTTACTTTTTAATTAAATTGTTAATTAATCCCATGGGCAATTCGCCTCTCACACATTTGATGATAGGGAAGCTGTGCTGGCCCTGGATAGAATCATTTTAAGCATTATACGATATTTTGATGTGTAACATTCATGAGCTAAACTGTGTTAGGTTGGTGCTCTGTAAAGTGCATGTGCGAATGCGTATAATCTAGCTGATTTACACAATTCAGATATTTACGCTGTGGAAGCAGTCCTGTATTCAACAATACGGCGCTTCCATTGGGAATATACATATATGAATTTATATTTGAATATACAATAGCAATCTTATCATTGTTTTTGACATGTAGTATAGAAATTTGTAATAAGATACATAATGTGGTTATAATAAAATATTAATTTTAATTAACTCAAAGTACATTAAAATATGAAAATAATTGGACTATGTATTTACATTTTAGAAAATACAAGGGAAGTAGTGTTTCCACAGCTTCCATGGATGGCATGCCACTGATATATATATATATATATATATATATATAAAATAATAATGTTAATAATTTATCTCCAAGAATAATATTTAAATAACAACTATACTAATAATTTTGTGCTAAAAATCATTGGAAATTCTGAAATTGAAGATAACATAATAAAACAGGCAAAGTTAACTTTTCTACATTGGGGGAGTTATTTATTACAGTCCAGTTATGATTACTATGAACAAAATAATAATAATAATAATAATAACAACACAATAAACAACACGTACCTCACAATAAAATAACACAATAAAATCACATACATTATAGACATATTCATTCCAAACACTCACAATGTACAAAACAATGCACTGAAAAAATCAAGTACACAGAACTTGCCCAGGAAATAAGGCATCTGTGGAGAATGGATAAAGTGCTTATTGTATCTGTTGTTCTCTCCTGTACAGGTGTCATACCACACACACTACACAAAAGCCTGGGCACACTACAATTGAATAGAAACACATACATCACACTACAGAAGGCCACTATATTGAATACATGCCATATTGTTAGGAAATTCCTGAATACAGACACTGACACACTTATTTAATTTTAGTTTTGTTTTGGTTGCTATGCCTTGACTCTGGTCCAGCACAGTACACAGCCACTGGTGTGTACTGAGTATAACCCACTAAACCCAACATAATAATAATAATAATAATCAAAATATAGTAGAAGAAGCAAAATTAGGTATGATGATTTTTCCAGAAGGAAAAATATTATTTCTGTTTACTTTTTAGGTATACTTACATGATAAGAATGCTTTTTTTTAAAAAAATTATGGATCAGTATGAAATGAAAAAAAGATGAAAGTACAACAAGCCTTTATATTGTCATTTAGAAATATTTTATATTGCTTTTTATTATTTTATTTTGTATTATATTATAATTAGATAATTGCTAATTTTAAAATTTAACATTGTCTATCTAATTATTGATGCTTTAACCAAAACTGAATTTCCTATTTCCATTTTGAAAAAAATGACATTATAGTTTACTAATTTTTTTCATTAAGTCATTTGATACAGCATAAATAAGCTAGAAGAAAAACTAAACAGAAATACAACTTTTTCATTTTGAAAACAGTTTATAAAAATTTTGATATTTCTGATTTTGCTTTTTCTCTCCTATTTTGATTTTATTGAATTATATATTGACCATTTTGGTCCAATACCTTTTCCCATCTTTCTGCTAGTAGCATGATTCCACCCTCATAAAAGTTATGATCTTTGTTTACAAAAAAACTGATCCAAGTGATTTTTGACATCCTCATTTGAAGTAAATGTCTACTGTTTAAAAAATTTTTGTAAAGACCAAAACAAGTAATAATCTGAGGGTGCCAGATATGTTGAATATGGTGGGTGTGGTAGTACAGTACATCCCATCTAAGCTGTAACAGCTTCTGACAAGTTACCAAACTTGTGTGGGGTCTGGCAGTATCATGGTGAAACACTACACCTTTTCGGTTGATCAATTCTGGTCTTTTCTGTTTGATGGTAATAACTCAATTTGCCCAGTTGACAGCATTACACTTTCAAATCAGTTGTGGAATTGTCTGGTAGAAGCTCAAATAAACAATTCCCTTAAAATCCCACCAAACAGAGGACATCAGTTTTTTTTTTTATGAATATTGGTTTTTTAAAGTACTTTGAGTCGGCTCATCTTATCTATTCCATGATCACTTGCATTTGACATTGTTATAAACAATCCATTTTTCATTGCCAGTTATGATTCAAAAATGGATCATTTTCTTGACATTTGAAATGCAAATCACAGATGTCAATGCGATGGAGCTAATATCTTTCTTTAAGAACATGTGGAACCCATATATTGAGCTTTGAAATGAAATTAAGTCATTTCAAGTGATCATAAACAGTTGAATTTGACAAATTTAACCTCTTAGCAATTTCTTGTGTTGTTGTTCAGCAGTTTGCTTCAGTCAATACCTTTATTTTGACTTCATCAGCTTCAACTGGCCTTCCAAAATGTGGTGCATCTTCAATATCAAAATTGTCAGAACAAAATTTTGCAAACCACTTTTGGCATTGTCATTCTGTCAACGTGTCTTTTCTATACACATCACAATTTTTTTCTTGCTTGAACAGCATTCTTACCTTTTCAGTAATAAAAAAGCAAAATATGCTGAAAATGCTGCTTTTGATTTTCCATATTTGATGGGACACTAAAAAAGAAAACAATTGCAAAGAATCAAACAGAATTTTTTTACAAATAAGCTTTGAAATGTCAGCTGTCAAAATATATAATGACAATATGATTTAGAATGAAATTGGTAGGTAAAAATACAACTAATTCCTCTGGTGGTAAATAGACAAAATTACTTTCCAAACAATCCAATAGACCTTTTGACTAAAAAATAAAGCTCTTTATCTTCAATTCTCTTAATCTTTAGAATTTTCAATCATTTTTGGTTCAAAATTATCATTATGCTAACTTTTTAAATTAGAAAAAAATCATATATGTTAAACAATGAGAAATAAGTCTACTTTTTTTTTCTATAAAAATAAATATGTATTATTATACTTACTATTTCAATTTATATCCTATTTTTATTTCAGTATTATTGGAACGAGTATTCTTACGAATAGGATCAGCTGAAACTGATGAACAGTTACAAAATGCATTGACTAAGTTCTTACCTCCAGTGTTACTCAAATTATCGAGTCCACAAGAACATATTAGAAAAAAGGTAGTTATTTTTAGATACCTACATATTTTTAAATAAATTCATTTTTTTCTTATTTTCAATCTTTATATTATTCAATATGTTTTTAGTTTACATAAATAAGAATAAATATACTTTTGTCATATTAAGTAAATAATATTTCAAATATCTGTAAACATAAAAACTTTTATAATACATGTATTAAATACATAAAATTTAGATTTGAAATGTGATTTGCATTGAAATTGGAATGGATCTGTGTGAATGTAAGTTAATATGGAATTTATTGAGAATTTTCTGCAGTTTTAGTAGGAAATCTTGTATGTCTTTATTTTTTGCTTTATTAATTATTTATAGTATACAAATTGTATATCAGTATCTCATCTTATGAAATAGATTCAGAAATATTTTCTTTTATAGAAAACTAGCAGGTAAGCCCAGCATTGCCCATGCAAAAATAAGTACAAATATTAAGATTATTAATTTTTATCATACAACTAAGTGCACAGTGGACACTAGACTTTTTTTACATTGTTCTTTATTCTGCAATTATTAACTTATTTAGTACTTCTAACCCTTATATTATCAATATATTATATTATTTGATTTATATAACTATAAAGGTTATCTTACATAAGGGTTTATCACACCAAATGACCAATCTAATACATTTCAAAAATTCTTTAAATTGTGTACAGTAGCGGAATAAAGAATTTTTAAAATGTGTTAAATTGGTCAGTAGGTGTGATAAACTTTTACATAAAATAATCTTTGTAGTTATATAAACCAAATACTATGATATAACAAATATTAAAATGAAAACCATATAGAGAGTTTGGTTATTTTAGCCTACCATTGTCATTGTAATTGTTTCTTCGAGTTAACTTTTTTGTTTTTGTATTGTGTGAGATCTAGCCGGGGGTACAGAGTAGTTTATTACTCTTGTATCACTTAATCGGCTTCTAGTGGGTGAAACTAGTTCTCTAGTTGTCCAAAAGAATGGCTTTTCCCAATTTAAGGAAATTTGAGTGCGGAGGGACTTACAGTTAAAATAAATTTTGAGTAGAAGTTGGTGATGGCGAATTCACCTTCTTCCTCGTCAGGACTTCCCGACATCAGTTAATCGAATTTATAACACGCGGATTAACACACGTTTGGATACGATATGGATTTGATTCAGAGAGTTATCAAGAGACATTTCTTTAACAAATAATAATGAAAAATTTAAACTAAAATAAACAAAATCATACAAAAATGGAAATAGTTAAAGAGAATCGATTTAGATAATGAATAAATCAAAATATACGCGCCGAGAGAGAGAGCTCACAAATTCATGATAAGCATACAACCTCTTTAGTTGACTTTATCTTCTTCTTAATTTGTCGATTTTACTTCATTTTCTCAGTTCTTTAACTTCTGTTCAGGGAGCGGTCTTGATAGGCACAAAATAAAATATCTCTTCCGTGTTTCTAACTAAACTTATCTTTAACATGGAGAAATTATGTCTATGTACGTTGGCCTTCTGGATACGATACTACTACTGACTAAGGGTGTTGGCCTTAGGGAGACAATATGGAATACGTCTGGCTTCGATGAGGTCCTACAGCATACTCCTCGAGGGACGTGATCCCACACTTTTGAGTCGATAGCGTGTCTTAGGTGACTTTGCAAATTTTGGAGCGTTTATTCGAGCCTTTTGCGTATCTGCAGTTTACAAGTCTTGACTCTTGGGAAGTCTGCTACCTTCGCGAGGTGCGTCCCGTTAGTAGCTCTGCAAGAGTGAAGCCAAAAGCAGGCAATTCAACTGCCTTTTTCAAGGCTACCATGTCGAAGCGTTCAAAACCCGAAGATATTATAAGTGAAGAGGACTCGTCTGGGGACGAGGGAGAAGAAATGGAACTCGGGCCTGAAGGAGACAGGCTTTTACTCGCTGAAAAGTATCAGCGGGATTTAGGAAAATACTTAACCAAAAACAGCAGGTCTCGTCTAGGGACGAGAGAGCACTATGATTTTATAATGGGACTTGTTGGTAACATTATTGACCTGTTCAGAAGAGGAGAGAAAGAAGATCTGCAAGCACAGATCAAAGAACTAAGTGACAAGATAGAAAATATTGTTCACCCAATCAGTCGACCACTCTACTCGCAAGTCACAGGAAATAAGAAATCGCCGGTAACGAAAGAAGTCATTTTCGTGGAACCTGAAAATCAAGGCGATGACCCAGAACGGATTAAGCGAAAACTAAAGGACAAGATTAACCCCAAGAGGATTGGAGTAGGGATTCAGGCTGTGCGCAAAATGAAAAGAGGTGGAGTCGCAATAGAGGTTGCCCCACGGCTGAAGAGAAAGTGAAGCTACGAAAGGAAATAGAAAATAATGGATTAAAAACCTCAGAGCCCACCAAACGTAAACCAAGAATGATACTATACGGAGTCCTGAAGGAATACACAAAGGACGATATTATTGACTGCCTCTATCACCAAAATGAAGGCATCACAGGAGTACATAACGACATAACCAGGTATAAACAAGAAGTTACAATCAAGTTTCCACTTGGTGGAAGTGATAAACCCAATACTAACTGGGTCCTCGAAACAAGTCCAGTCTATCGTAATATGCTTAAAAAACTAAAGAAAGTTAATCTTCAATGGGTAAGATGTGGCGTGGATGACTTTGTGTCAGTAATTCAATGTTTCAAGTGCTGCCGACTGGGGCACTTTGCGAAGGAATGCTCAGAGAGCAGAAGGGTGTTCAGCCAGTGTGGACAAGACCACACTTTTAAGGAATGTCCTAATAAACAAACGATAAAGGAGTGTGTCAATTGCAAGAGGGAGAAGGTGAGTAATTAACATCATAACTCATGTGATAAGAGCTGTCCGGCCATTCAAAGGATAAAAAGAATGATAATGACGAAGATTGACTATGGACAATAGTCAAATTACGGAATACGAGAATGAAATTAAGGTTCTACAAGTGAACTTGCAAAAGTCTAAAAGTGCAATGGCTGGATTATGCAAGACAATGGAAAATGTAGACGTTGCTCTAATTCAGGAGCCCTATTGTATCAGGGGTTCAATAGCTTGCTTGAGGAAGCAATTCGTCCTTCTTCATGAGCCATCTTCGCTTGCAGCTATAATAGTTAAAAATCATTCAGTCCCTATCTTTTACCATAGTAACTTAAGTACTAAGAGAGTAGCATGCGCTATGGTTGGTACAGGCATGAACAAATATGTTATTATCAGTACCTAATGCCAACTTACTGTAGATCTAGAAGAGATTCTTTCCCCGATAGAACGGATACTTGATCAACTAGGCGACGAGAGAGTTATAATTGGTGGTGACATAAACGCCCACTCGCAGCTCTGGGGTGATCCCGAGGATGACAGTCGTGCAGATGAATTTTTACAATTTGTCCATGCCAAAAGATTATATATTCTTAATGATCCCGGGTCCCTTCCGACTTTTGACGCCCCAGTAGGGCAGAGCTGGGTGGATATTACCTGCTGTAACAGTAGATCCTTGAAAACAATAACGGAATGGAACGTATCTACATATAGTAGCTTGAGCGATCACGCCTATATTTTCTATAACCTTGGTATCACTGGGAATGTAGAGGAAGGTTGTAACAAATACGACATCAAAAGGACCAACTGGAATATGTTTGAGACTAGGCTTAAAGAAAAAGTCGATGCCCTCTATTTAAGTGAAATCACAAACAATATAGTTGCAGAGCAAAAGATATCCTCATTCATTCAATGCATAGAGGAAAGTTGTAATGAGTTAATTCCTAGGAAACGGAGAAGAGACAGAGCGGTGCCTTGGTGGACCGAGGAACTATCGACATTAAGGAGGGAGAATAACTGCTTAAGGAGACAATACCAATGAACAAGAGTGCTGAATGAACGAAATAGAAAATATAAGAAATACCAAGAATTCGAAAGGAAATATAAAAATGCCATCAAGAACACAAAGCTAGCATCTTGGAAGGAGTTTTGTATGGCTAGCTCTAACAGGCCGTGGAGCTATCTCTATAAGAGCTGTACAGGAAAGCTAAAAACGGCTAATATTCTTCAGACTCTTAGAGTTGCAGATAGATTTACATTGAATACTGAAAGTACTATTAATGCCCTCATGGATCACTTTTTCCCCGCTGACAATAGTGAACAAGATACGATTGAACAAAAAGAAATACGTAAGCAGATAGAAATGGAGTACCAGGAGGCTGACGCACCCCACTTTACATACGCAGAAATTAAGGATATTGTGCATCACCTGAAAAAGGGTAAGGCCCCTGGGGATGATGATATAACCAGTGAAATCATTCATAACATATGGAATATGATCCCGCAAACACTGATCGACATTTATAACGCATGCCTGGATCACGGAATTTTTCCGGATCGGTGGAAGCAGGCAAAATTAATCATCATTCCCAAAGGAACTGGAAAAAATAAGGATGACGCGGGAAGTTATAGGCCCATTAGCCTTCTTCCTGTGATGGGCAAGATCCTTGACTATTTAATAGTCCAGAGGTTGACTTACCAAATAATTAACAAGAATTTGTTAAGCCCAAAGCAATACGGGTTTCTTCTGGGAAAGTCTACGGAAGACGTCATCTGTTCTGTAATCAACGATATTCGGCAAACCATCTCAGAATATAAGTATTGTTGCATATTGAGTTTGACATTAAAGGGGCTTTCGATTACGCCTGGTGGGCCCAGATTCTCCTGAACCTTAGACAGTGGCATTGTCCGAGGAACCTTTATAATCTAGTAAAAGGATATTTCTCTAACAGAAGTATAAGTTACAACCACGGGAATCTTATGGTTACTCGAAGGATCAACAGGGGATGCCCACAGGGGTCAAACTCGGGCCCCCTTTTCTGGAATGTCTTATATAACAGCTTCCTAAAAAGAGATAAGGGAGCCATTGAGTATGCATATGCCGACGACACCGTGCTTTTGTTTGATGCAAACTCAAGGAGGGAGATTGAAGCAACAGGTTCTGCCCTTCTTGATAAAGTT